GAAACTATATATATTTCATGAAATTTAAAATGTAAATGTTTAAGGGATTTTCAAGAAAATAAATGTTCTTTCCATCATAACGATGATGATGATGATAATGGTGAAACTATATATATTTCATGAAATTTCAAAATGTAAATGTTTAAGGGATTTTCAAGAAAATAAATGTTCTTTCCATCATAACGATGATGATGATGATGGCGAAACTATATATATTTCATGAAATTTAGTAAATGTTTAAGGGATTTTCAAGAACATAAATGTTCTATCCATCATAACAATGATGATGATGATGGCGACCTTATATATATTTCATGAAATTTAAAATGTAAATGTTTAAGGGATTTTCAAGACCATAAATGTTCTAGCCATCATAACAATGATGATGATGATGATGGCGAAACTATATGTATTTCATGAAATTTAGTAAATGTTTAAGGGATTTTCAAGAAAATAAATGTTCTTTCCATCATAACGATGATGATGATGATGATGGCGAAACTATTTATATTATTAATATATATAATTCATGAAATTTCAAAATGTAAATGTAGAAATTATCAATAAAATAAATAATCAATCAATTTCAAAGTTGTTTTATTTACTAAATATTATTAATGTAAGTTTCCACTGCTGAAACAACTGTAAAAACACCTCTGAATTTGGTAAGGACAGATAACAAATGCAATGGAAATCTAACTATACATGTAAGTTACTACATATAGAACTTATTAATTAGTTAGATATACGACCATGAAATATAAGTCTTAAACAAAACTATTACCGTAGAATGGAGAGAAAAACTACATTTTGCTCATCAAAAGTGACACAAAATAGACGAAACATATGAAAAAAACACTTTACTTTAGATACAAAGTACTCACTGGATTTTTGTCATAACGACTTCTTAAAATCGCACTCGAAAAAATCTAATTTTTTTAAAGATAGTTCATAATTTATTTACATCCAAAAATGTTTATTGAGCGTCTTTTGAGCTCTTTTTCTTAATGCCTGCACAGGAAAGGAATACATTTATAATATTTAAAAAAAAGCGAGAGATATGTCAAGACTGACAGATGACATCGGACTCTTGACACTAGCGCCACCTATTGAGAGCTTTCAGTTTTTTTCCACATCCCACAGCACTAGTTTTAATACACATGTCTGTTTTATGAAAGGATAACAAGTTTCAGTTTAGTGGAGTTTTATGGGTAACCTAACAACTAGCTTAATTTAAATATAATATAGTTACAAACTTAGTTGACTGCCGATTAATATTGACAATTTTCAAATTATAAAGTTTCATGAAATTTAAAATATTGTTTCCTTTTAACAAATATGCATCTAAAATTGCATCAACTTATTTTATACCCTGTTACCATAACAGCCTCCGTGTTTCACTTCAACTTCGAGAAACTAGATGGCGTCTAAAGCTCGTAAAGTACGGATTTTTTAAATCTTTACAATGCTTTAATATTTTAATTACGATTCGGTGAAAAATTAGAATTATTGAAATATTTCCAACACATAAATTAAATAATGGGAAATAATTTGTTTTATTTTTCAATTTTTACACGCTACTAGATGGCGCTGTAACTAATGTAATAACGTGAAGATTTTTCCAATTATGTATTTCTTAAATTTTTCAATAAAAACAAGCAACTAGCCTATTATATAAATATCAATATACATAATTTAAAAACTTAATATATTTGTTACAATTACATACAAACAGTACTTTGGACAAAGGTTTTATTAATAGAAATTAAAGGCTTGTTGTATCGGGTTCGTAGGATCGATTTTGTATGCCGCCGATGTCGCTCAGTTTTGATTCTGGAATAGTTTTCCTTTTCTGAAAATATTAATAATAAATAATAATAATTCACAATTTTTCTTTTTAATTAATATGATTTTAATTATTTAAAAGGCAATGTGTATTTTCTAAGTTTTTTTTTCGTAAAAATGACTTACCGTGAGTTTCTAAGACCAAAATCTTGTTATAAATATCATCCCTGTAATTATCTTTGACAAAACACAAATAACAATAAGTTTTAAACCGAGATTTCGTACTCAGAAACTCACGTTTAGTTATCATTTGATAAAAATTGTACCTTTGGACGATAAACTTTGTTATCAAGTTTCTTGATGCCTGCGAAGTGATTTTCGATGTCGATTAAATTTTTCCCTTCGGTCTCGGGAAGTATAAGTGCAAACACAACGCATCCAGTTAAACTAAAAATAAAACAATATAATATAAATATTTAAACAATGAAAACAACAGAAATTGACAAAATAAAAAAAACGATTTATTGCGGGTTTCTGAAACTTATATGTCTGTATAAGACATACCATTTTTTCTTTTAAAAATAGAGATAATAATAAGTTCTAAACGGAGGTGTTGGTCTCAGAAACCTACTATTATACTTATTTAATTATTAATTGTAAAATAAATACCAAATGAGTCCATAAAATCCATAAGTTCCCCATATTGAAAGTTTGTCGACCATATTGATGTAGGCCTTGTTGGTGACGAAACCGAATATATAGCCCATAGCACTGGCTAGACCTGATGCTCCTGACCTCGTCTGTGCACTGAACACCTGGAACGTCATCAAATATTTATCACCACATGATGATAGTATACGTATACTAATAATATCATTCGACATAAATTTCAATTTAAAATCTTAGGTATTAATATTATAAATGCGAAAGTTTGAATGGATGTTTGTTTCAAGGTATCTCCGAAACGGCTCAATGGATTTTAATGAAATTTTGCACAGATGTAGAACAAAGTCTGAGGGAAGACATAGACTACTTATTTTTTTATTTCCTCTCGAAGGGAGTCGCGGGCCATAGTTTTTGAAGGATCTTCAATCACGACATATATTTGAATAATTCCTTTTTATATAAAACTCTATATTTACGACATAATTTAGGCTAAATATTTTCACGCTGTGATATTTAGGGAGTGAATAAATTGAAGAATATTACGATAAAATCTCACGCCAAAATCACTGAAGATGGATGCCATGGTAATTTTAATTTGACATTTGCAAATGAAAATTTTACGGAAACAAAAAAAACAAAGTTTTTTTTTTATGTTAAACAAAAATTATTGGAATGAAACAGCTAGTATTTAATGTAGATTTCTCATACTGAAACTACACTAAGGGGTACTTTCTGAGTACTGTAGTAAAATCTCACCTCTCCAATAAGTATCCAGGGTAACAGTCGTATTCCAGTGTGGGTGATGAAAGCCAACAACATTAGAAGTGTTGTTGGCATCCAGGAGTAACCGATGTGCTGTAAAATACAAAACCACGTGTTCTCATTGACCGAAACATTCACATAATGCACAGTAACACGAAAGCGAAGCGAAATCGAAATAAAATATCGTCGACAAATTATTGTCTAATATAACTAGAGAGAGATTCCAAAAATGATAATATATTGCCATCCCTTTCATTGTGTTGGAAGAACAAAAGAGATAACAATATTGCTAATATTATAAAAGCTAATATTTATATAGATGGATGTTTGTCAGAAGGTATCTCCAGAACAGCTGTATACATCTCGATAAAATTTGTCATACATGTAGAATATATTTTGGAAAAACGCATAGACTACTTAATAAGTTTTTTTTTGTTCCGCGCAAAAGTCATGAGAAAAACCTAGTTAATCTATACAATAGACACATAATACAGCGGCACTGTTCTCACAGAAAACGGAATAAACGCGAAGTGAAAGCGAATTCGCTTTTGTTTCGCGAAGTATACAGTTTGACATATTTAAAATGGTCGCGAAGCGGAATCTTTGTTTCGGTTAATTTTCGTATGTTTGAGTGTGAGTGTGTTTGAGACATTAAAATATTTCTTACAATGGTTTCAGCAGTGAGAGAACTGTTTGTCTTCAAATATACACCATTGCTGCTTATTGATACATGCGGCCGCGAATACTGGGAATTAAAATAAACATAAGTTAGATGAGATGTTTTTTTTTTAATTTCTTGCCCCTGTCCCCCTCCCCCATCCCCCAATCTCACGAGAGATTTTTCAAAATGTGAGTTTCTTACATAAACGCGTTGGATTGTTTTTATAAAAAGAAAAAATAGTCAGAAAAAATAGCGTGATATTTGCCGAGACCCCCCTCTCCAACGTAAGATTAGACGACATTTGACTCGACCCCCTCCCACCCCCTTAAACACCTAACGTCATTTATGGACGCCTACTAACTTAATAAATAAATTTTAATTAATAAACCTTACAATATCTTCATATATACAAATAAGTCTTGCGACGGTAACCATTGGTTTCTGAGACCAAAATATCTGCTTAAAACATATCGGTGATGATCTTAGAAACCTACGGTAAGTCAACGAATACTGAAATATATCTACAGTACTTATTATTGTTGACATTTTTATTAATATGTGTATTTAATGGGTTACGAAATAAGGCCTTGAAAACATTCACTCGATCTTAAAATAACTTGAAGTAAAAAAAATGTAAAATACATATTTCAACAAAAAAAATGTAAATATTATCCAAACATGATTTTTTAAGAGAATAGATGTATTATGAAGAGCAAATAAAATCATTCATCTATGTCTAAAACCCTGTATTACTTACCATTTTGATGTAAATATCGTAAGCTGAGAGTAGCAGACAGCAGACGCCCGCTCCAGCAGTGGAGACCAGCGTGAGTGTCCGCTTTCCAGCGAAGCGTACCAACAGTACACAACACGCAGCACCAGCTATCTGAACCGCGCCCAACACTAACGTGGCTCGGTACTTATCTAAAGGCGCATCTAACGCCTGGAATATCGACACTGCGTACGTCTGCAGTGATATACAGCATGTTTTAATATTCAAAATAATTAAAAAAATATAAGTAAATTAACTGATTAAGATTCTTCGTACGCTTTTATTATAAATGATTGTATGGATGTTTGTTTGAAGATATCTCCAGAACGGCAGAAAGGATCTCGATGAAATTTTGCATACATATAGAACATAGTCTGGAAGAACACATAGGCTACTTATTATGTTTTTGTTCAATTCCGCGCAGACGGAGTGGAGGGCGACAGCTAGTAATGTCATAAAAGTTCGTATATAGTACGAGTCGCTGACATTTTTATTTGTACGTAAGTTGCGTACGTACGTAGTACGTAGGTACATTACCAGCTGCTTGTTATCTTCATCAAATTGTAATCGACCTAGACATATTGTGAACTTGTCAAATTATTGCATCAAAAGTTTTGTATCAAAAGTATGATACATATTTTAATAATTATAGAAAAATATTAAAACAAAGATTATGTAAGGAAGGAACTGTTACCTGCAGCGTGGTCATGCCGCTGAAATGACCCACGAAGAAGCTATAGCTGACAAGACAGAACGGTACATAGAACTTGCGCTCGCGGTAGTGAGATAAATTGGCCGTCCACTTGTATTTGTACGACACCATTTCCTCTGGAATATTAACAGATCAATTTTAACTTATGCCTTTATCACAGTGACATACGAAAATGGCGTTAAATAATTTATTATAGACTCATAAACTCTCCGGGCATAAAGTATTCTAGGCATTCCAATGGCTAGTCTTTTGTTCAGGATGAGTAAGATAGTCGCCTGCATCAGCTACCTCCCCATCAAAGACCCGAAAAAATCGGTCCATCCGTTCCAGAGAATGCCCGGAACATATACAGCATTGCGGACAGATAAAGGTAGACAAAAATCAAAAAAAATGGTTTTACGTTATCAGCATCGCAAATACGTTTACGACATATATATTCTTGATAGTACATACAAACACTCCAATTTTATCAATATATATAAATAAAAAGAAATTGCACTGACCTATCCAGAAAAGAGCTTGAATGTCTCTCAACTCCATGTCGACTTCATCTTCCGTCGTCCAGCCGCGAAGCCATTGCAGACTCTGCAACAACCATTTTGTCTCCATTTGTACGTATTAAAAAACCTTAATTATTTGCCTATATGTTCTTCCAGACTATGTTCTACATCTATGGCAAACATCGAGATTAATGCAGTTGCTCTGAAGATACCTTCTAATAAACATTCATCCAAACATTCGCATTTATAATATTAGTAATATAATCGAATCTGATTTAAAGTTTTCTTTATGTTACTGCTAGAAAACAAATAGATATTTGAATCCCAACTCTCTCTTGTGTTGTATCCATTTGACGTTTTTGTTTATTAGTTCAGTTGTCAAAGAAATATCAAGGACGTTCGCAAGGCTCTTGAAGTTTGTTATATTGTGTTAAATACAATATACAATTATTTTTTTCAAATCGCTAAAAGCAAAAAATATATTCGTACCTTCCTAGCGTCATCGTCTCGGTTTCTTGATATCAGCCAATGCGGTGATTCCGGAATAAAGAATAAAGCAATAACGGCTACTATCTGAAAAAAAGTATCCAACTTGAAAGTTGATTACGAAGGAAATGAAATAAAAAACGACAGATCGATGAAAAACCTGATCCGGGATGCGGACAGGGAGTTTAGTCGGTAACTTAGGCCTTTCGTGCACAAGGCAACTCATCTTCGAATGTCGGCGTTTTTAGTCGCCGACATTTCTATCTGTCATCGCCAAAGAGAGTCGCTCGAAACCTATTTAAGATCGTATGACAAAAGTCGCTTTCAAATTAAAATTTTCGAATTTGCGGTCCAAATCAATACAGTTACCGAATAGTCAACTCGCGTCGACGACTTATATTGTACGAAGAGCTTGCAACGCGAGTCTCGCGACGCAACTATTCAAGTTTGGATGATTTACGTTGCCTTGTGTACAAAGGTCCTTACTGTAAAGCTAATGTTGACGAGTGCGACTGTCCTCCAGTTCATCAATGTACCGAACAGGAACTGAGTGAACACTCCGAGGATGACGCACATCGAACTGGTGGCGGACAGCGAGCCGCGCAAGTGCGGCTGTGTGATCTCCGCAACGTAAGTCAGCACCTGCGAAGCATATTTGCCTAATGTACACCATTGTAAGTTAAAGAAATAAAGTGTTATAAACGATATTCTGATTAATAGATCTAAATATAATACTTTAAATGTGCAATGACATTTTTAAACGTAGCCGTGTAACCGTTGTAACAGTTGTGTTGAAACATAATATTTTCTTTGTTTTATTCAACGAGTATAAGTGAGACGGCAATTTGTTTTTATACAAGTATTGTAGCAATGGAAATAAAGAGTAAAATAGATTAAACGGTGAGACAATAGCAAAATACATCGGCAATTCAACAAATCGCGTGTGGTATTGTATTATATTCTGCGAAGTATTGATGTCGTCACGACGGACAGAACTTTGTAATACCAAACAATGTGTGTACCAATACGACACTGATAATCAAAGTGTGTTATTCAAATTAAAGACTTTTCAAAATAAGTTTGATAAACGTAATTATTTTTTAAATTCTCTAGCGCCCAAACTCAGCTTTTCAACGGAGGTATGTTTTGTTAAAACATATTTTTGATCCTGGAATCTATAATCGTTGTGCAGGTCTTTTCCGAACATCCTGTATATGCAAAGTACATTACTTTGAAACTCCTTTAGAGAAAATAAACAAGTGTCATAGTAACGTACGTATTTGATTAACTCTGGGTGGGTGGTAAAATTATTTCCTTAACTGTAAACACTTCTGAGAGATGTGCAATCTTAGGATACAGCATGTTTTTATTAGGAGCGCCTGTGTTCAGGAAATATCGATAAAGATCAGCGATGTATGAAGGTCGATAACTATTAACTTGAAGCATTCGCGGAAACAACAATACATTATTTATATACTATTATTATATATTAACTATTAAATGCCGTTTGAAAGCTGATGTTTGAATAAAAGCGTTGAGAGGGAACTTTAAAAAAATAAATGCTTAGGATTATTAAAGTTAAATAATAAGATTCCGATAAAAAGTATATAGTAACTTCCATTGTCACCATTGGTTTCTGAGACTTAAACCTCTCCGTAAAACATATCGTCATTCATGTCATTATCTTTCACAATACAGTTATAAATGGGGATTTTTGTCTCAAAAACCCATGCTCAGTCTCATCACTAAAGGAGTGAAACGATTGTGCGGCAGTATCTCTTGTCAATATACATATATAAATATTTATAAATGATGCAGTTATATCTTTGCGTTTTGTAGTTTTATTAACCGTATATGTTCATTAACGAAATACTTTAATAAAAAGCATATTATATTCTCTTTCACTATCTTTTTTTATAACAGAAGGGGGCAAAGGAGCAGCGGGAACACCGAGGTCTAAAAAAAATAACATCGAGATTGGTGAAAACTATCATCATACTAATAATATAAATGAGAATTTTTAATGAATGGATGGATGTTTGTTTGAAGGTATCACCGGAAAGGCTCAAATGATCTCGCTGAAATTTGGCATAGATATAACACATAATCTGGTAGAACACATAGGCTTCTTATTTACATTTTTAATTCCGCACGTACGGAGTGACGGGTATTTTAGTAACATCTTTAAAATATGTTTCATCATTCTCGATCTTATTTTTTATATTATTCGAGATATACCGATTATCGGATTTGTCGATATGTTTATGCATTAGCTCCGACAGTGACAAGTAATCCTTAGAAAATATCCAAACATTTGACGAAGTAATATCGATTAGATAAATTTATAATACACATACAATATCTATAAAAATATCTCAAATTTAATATCGTACTTGTGAAATGAAATGCATTTTTTCGTCGTAGTTATCAATGCATACTCTTATCATATATTTGAACAATTCAATAGCTTTAAGAATCTAATCTCATCAGTCGTACGAAGTTCAACATTTGTTTGTGTATGTATATACAATAATACTACCGTTTACCAGATTCACACATAATTTATAATATTCAGCGGAAATTTTTTTCAGAAAAAAATCACCCTGTATCGTAATCACCATCACTAGCTCACTATGTGTCCCCACCGAGGTAATCGGAGCTTACCCAAACAAGTGTTACTAGGCCATAGTCAACCACTCTGGTCCAGTGCGGGTTGATTTCACACATGTTTTTAAATTTCTTCCTAGGTATGTGCAGGTTCCTTCACAGCATAAACGGGATAGATGTACATATGTAAATAGGACGAAAAACACATTGGTACCTACGTGATTCGAAGCAAGGACCTGTAGACTGCAGATTGCTTAACCCCTGAGCCATCGACGCTCTTGTATCATAAGCATAGGTATCTTACCGGCGCTTCAAGCAATCCTCCAGCGAGACCAGTTAAAAAGAGAGCTGCGTAGAGGTAAACAGCGGTCTTCGAGTAATAGAAGAGAAGCCAGGCGATAATGAATGGCAGGTTGACTGCTTGCATGGCGCGGCGTCGACCAAGCGGTGACGTCACCACACCAGACAGCGCGCACCCCAACGGCACAACAATCAGGTTTATTGAGCCTGCAGTGGAAAAGAAAAGTTAGTTAAAACTACGACAAATGTTTGCGACAGGATGCACAGTCGAGGTAATTTATTTCATACCCATTTCGGTAATGTCATTTGATTTTCACGACGCAATTAGGTCGAAAACTTGTGGCTACAGCTAGTTAACTATAAACTAACCTTTCAAAATATTTAGTCTATAAAAGGCACTTGCAACCTATAAATTATGATGTAACTGTTAATTAGCAAAGTGTTATCAATGCATTTATAAAAAAACAATTGCAGGTAACAGCAATTACGCATACGTTATCAGTGCAATGCAATCTTTGATGCATAAACACATTAAACACTAGCGGTTTCTCAAACATTTGTCAAACTGTTCTTCAAACCTGTAAGACAAACTTAGAAATTGAAAAATTAATTTATTATTAGGAATTTTTACAATTTACTCGGTAGTACGAAGTTACAGAAACTATATCCTATTACGATTAATTAACATTATAAATACTTTTAGATACAGTATAAATAAATCAAATAAATAAGTTAAATAAATAAATAAAAATAACATCTAGTCAAGTAAGTTATAAATTAATGCTGTAAAACACAAGTTTTATTATGAATATCTTAATAATACGAATGTTTTGATAGATGGATGTTTATTAGAAGGTATCTCCTGAACAGCGGCATGAATCTCGCTGAAATATGACATAGGTGTGAAACATAGTCTGGAAGAACATATAGTCTACTAATTAAATATCCTCGCGGATGTATCAACTTCATCAGCTCACTATACGTCCCCACCGAGGTGCTCGGAGCCTACCCTAAGTTAGGGGTGACTAGGCTATAGTCAACCACGCTGGCCAAGTGCGGGTTGGTTGACTTCACACATATCTTTGAATTTCTCTTCAGATATGTGCAGGTAGGGTAGCATCACAATTTTTTCCTTCACCGTAAGAACGTCGGATAAATTTATATACATATGTAAATCGGAAATAGAAAAACACATTGGTACATGGCGGGATTCGAGCCCAGGACCTGCAGATTACAAGTCAAGTGCTTGATCTCTGAGCTACCGACGCTCTAATGCTACAAGGTTTACTATTGATATCTTATTAATATGAATTTTTAGATATATGGATGTTTGTTAGAAGGTATCTCCAGAGTTGCTGCATGAATCTCGCTGAAATATGACATAAATGTGAAACATAGTCTGGAAGAACATATAGTCTACTAATTAAATTTAAATTTAATTCCTCGCGGATATATGTTATAAAACACATGGAAAAGGTCTACTTATGTAAATTATATTGTATTAGAAAACATAATATAATAGAAATTTCTCGTTTGGTATAGGAATACAGAGTGTTCTGACAGAACAGGTTGTTTTATTTAAAAGTTAAATTACTCTTTTTTTGTGTTTAATTTATTTATATTTTAAAAATGTAGGCCTTGATCTGACTGTAAACAAGTTAATCTTGTTCATTGATGTAACGAATTTTTGTCATGCAACATTTAAAAGGTATTTTTGCCCGACTTATAGGTAATATTTCTGTGTGTCCGTCATATGTTACCCAGTAGCCTAACTACTGATTTAAATGAAGTGGATTGTTGCTTAATTGGTAGGCTAATAGGTATGTAGATTCAAAGACATACTAGAAGCGATTGAAATATTAAGACGTTTGTACAGACGAGGAAATTTATTTAATACCCATATCGGTGAATTTTCTTTTTTATCTTAACTAAGTATAGATTACACTTACTTATCCAAGAGACTTGTGTATTATTGAGATGCAGTATCTCTCCATCCTGGGGTTGACTGACAGCTGGTATCAGGATGGTAGGGAAGCCAAGGGTCATTCCGTAACCTGCGATAAAACACTTTCCGTGAAATTTGATTGTCGTGACACTTGTCAAACACATATTGTTATCTCGGTCTTTTCCAAATAGAACGAGTGGGATAGCCACAGTTTGGATATGCAATACATTTAATGCCAAAGACCGGTTCCTTTCTATCGCTTTACAACTTTCACTGGTATAAGAACAAACTATCAATACTATTGAGTTTTCACTGTCATAATACTTGTATAACAACAATATAACTTCTCACTCACTTTAAAACGAAAAATAGAATAACAAATACAGTTGTAAAACAGTTGATACTCACGATAAAGATGTTTTGAAAGTAAAACTTAGTTAAAATTCAAACATAAATTATAGGTTGGCCATTTTAATTTGTCAATTTAACGTCGTTACAATGTAGCGTCAGTGAACTCTTTTTCTTTTTTAAACATTCAGGATATTACAAAAATATAAAGAAATACATGAATATATAATAACAATACGCAATACGTTTATATTTTTTAATAAAAAATAACGAAAATTACGTATATAAACTAACAGATAACAGTGAACTCTTGGCGCTGCCGCCACCTACTTCGAACTTACAATTTTTCATCCCATTAAAAAAACTACATAAACAAAAGAATCTTGTCAAAAAAGGTCAACTACACGTATTTTCAAATCGTCTGATGACGTCACATTCTCTCTATTATTTCTAAAAGAATGTTAGTTATGATGAAGATGTCAGAATACACATATGATGATGTAACATACATCTTAAATTATCAGACATATAAAAAGACTAGATAAAGTAGAAGTGTAAAGATCAACAACATATAGGATTACCTGTTATTGATAAGTTTAAGTTGTAACAAGTTAAAACCAGTTCGAATAGTCTGAGACAAAATAATAATGTTCGATTGAAAGTGACACCTAAGTACCAGGCTCAAGTTGGCACTTCTGACAGAAGATCACTTATATTGACAACGTGCCAAATTAAAAGGACTTTCTGTACATTGCTATAGCTTCTATAAATACGTCTTTTATTAGTCAGATATACTTGCTTTGTGTTTGTTTTAATTGTGTTGTTTGGACAAAAAAGCAAAATTGTTTTTTATAATTTTAGTACCTACCATACTAAAATTGACCCACAAAAGAAGCAAGCCTAGCTAAATGGAATAAACTTACTGCATTTATGATGATTCGTATGAATATGTCACTAAAATAGTGATGAAGATATAGTTTTGTTTCAGATAATTATTAACTTTATATAAACACAGTGTATATAATATTATGATATTAATAATGTTTTAAAAATAATAGTATTTGTAATTATTAATAAATGCGCTGTGATATTCTTTTAGCAATGATATCATATTATTACGTGAAGCAAAAAATTTATATCAATTTTTTTTTAATAATTGCACAAAAAGATGAACGCAAAAAACAGTTAATGTTAAAAAGGAGAAATACATTAAGCTATTTGATTTTAATATTTAATAAAACTATTTAATATAAAAGTAAGTAAGGTTATGAATTATGATTGAATTTCGAACAAAGGGCAGCTACTACTTTAAATGTGTCTTTCAGAGTATTTCCAAAAACTATAAACATCGACAGTTTATAATAGCTTATACCACACGAGTTGCTTATTTTGGAAAATTGAAAACTGAACTCACTAGTAACTTAACTATCCCAACTAAAAACAATGTTCAACCAAACCAAAAACAAGCAAAACGCGACAAAATTAATAAAAGAACCTTGGACCTGATTTCGTTGTGGTCGCAACAGCAAAAATAATATGGAACTTTTCCTTATAAGCTAACATTATAATATGAAACGCTAATTTCACACGAGGGCGGAACAGTGAGGCTGGATAGTAGACAGTGCAGTATGCTTTTAAACTAGTACTGTTTCATGCGCGGCGTTTAAACAATAATGATATTGGTCTGTATATCTGTGCCGCCCTCGTGGAAAACTATCATAAGCGCAAAGCAATCAAAATAATATAGTACAAACGAACTTTAAACGGAACAAGGATGAACGGCTTAGTAGAAATTAATTTAAAAACTAACTTGATTTTGCAATTGTCAATCTGCTTAGTTGTGTTTTTTACCATTAAAAACATTAAAAATATTATTTTCATAGAGTTCAATAGAAATCAACGATTAAATAATTAGTACAGTGGTTTGCTGACGGTAAAAAGCGATAGAACAAAACATTTTTTGTGAGTGGCATAATATCAGCGAAAGCCACTCTTTAGTTTACATTCTGTATAAAATAGACAAGTCATGCAAAAGATATTTTATGCCAGTATCAATTGTTTATAATAATTTGAAGAAAACAATCGCAAACTCTTTGTTTTACTATGGGTTTCCACTGCTGAAACACCCGTAGGGAAACATATCGTTATCCCGCTCATTCATTGTAACAAAATAGATATTGCAAATACAAATCGCTTAGCTTTTGTTAATTTACTATTACTACCGATTTGCTATTATGCTTTGCACTCACGTTTAGAAGCGTCATTGCGGTTTAGTTCTAAAGTTAAATAATAAATGGGCACAGCGACACGAGCGTGCTGGGCACATACAGAATCACGTCCTATGAAAACGCACCTTAAGATAAACTCACCCAATATGAGTAAATTCTTGACACTAACAGCTATGATTTGTGGCAGAGCGGTCCTGAAATCCTTCCTGTAGTTGTAGTAACGGTCCCCCGGCTCCGTCTCACAGAGCTCCTTGTCCAGAGGCCTCATATTCTTTAAACAATATTAATTTTCTTTAAAACAGTAAATACTATGTAACGCTTTGATTATGGTCTGAACACTTGTATGAAAATATATGTCATATTTATTATCTTAAAAAAAAACAATATGTAAATTCAATTGTTACGACAATGAAATTTCACGGTAAAACATCATACAAAGACCGTTCTAAATACGGATTTCCCCGCGTTTTCGGTATTTAAAAGTTATGAATAAAATTAATTAGCGGTCAAATATTAACTCGCACTCAACACCGACCAAAATAAATATTATTGGAATAGTGTACTTTGTAATTCTATGTAAATAATTATATGAAAAACAATGACCAAGGTCACAACACTTCCCTAGCTGCAATAAGACGCATATATTTTCCCACGATATTTTACCTTCACTGCATCTCACATCGTATCAATAGTAAAACAGAAATTAAAATCGAATTAAATACAATAATTCCTATCAATTGCATTGTAAAAAGGACGGAATTTACATTATCAATCGATATCTCTGTTTCCCAAAGGACTGACATACACGGACCGCTTGAAGCAGTTGACAGTGGCAGATTGAAGCAGACTCCATGCTAGCAGCATTTTATAGCAGCGATAAACTGCCGCTGTCTTCTGTTTGAAGCTCTCCGTGTGTATTGGCCCTTAATACTAAGACTTATTTCGTCCTTGAAGGAAGTTGCCCCATGATAAATATTGTACAATTGGCAAATTAACGTTGTTTAACGAAATCGCCGATACCCAAGGACAAAATTACTTATGAATATTATTCGAATTTTTGATGGATCCAAAGAAATAATACATATAAAATAAAGATGACACACGGCTTAAGAACTTGTTATCATCTCAGTGAACACTCCGCGCGTGCACATGCAGATAAAGTATACCTTAATTCTTTTCAATATCTTTGCATTTAACTTCGCGCGAATCGCTGCTCAGAAAACAATTTGAACGGGACGTTGCAGATTGCTGGGGGAGAGCACTGCGCAGCACGCCATTGACCTTGGGTCGCTAAGATATATTTAAAAGACTAATAGGGTTGTAATTTAGTAAAAAGAACGTTCGTTTTTTTTATATAAACTTAAGAGACGATTATAACAAGTGTTCTACTTTAGTTCTACATCTTTATCTAAGGTTTTAAATGACATGGCCCTGTGACAAATTCAACGTAATTTACGCGAGACATATTATCATTATCATCGGCATTGTATATACGACAATAATTAATGTATATGTCGATTTATTGTCAATTCGGTATGAGAAACTGAGTACAATTAACGAACAAATAATTTAAAGACGTATCATGCAACCTCGCATTTTTCTTGATAGGACCTTTTTTGGACATTTTACAAATTGTTTGTTTATAACGTGACAAAATCCGGACAATCAATAATATATTTAACTTATGTTAATTTGTTATAACCAAAACATAGTAATAGTTTTTCGATATAGAATTAACTATGGTCATCGACTATAAATAGATACATAGACGAAGTGTAACTGTCCGTACCGTTATAAGGGCAAGGATAACTTGAGCCACTCGCACAGCCTGCGCTTAGTAAATATAACTTAATGATCATTTAAATATTAAGTTACATATTTGCCGGCGACTTCCTCCGCACGAAATATTAAAATACTAAATATAAAAATCCTATGTTATCCGGGAATAATGTAGCTTATTATTTCGCAGTCTATTCAATACAAACAAGTTTTTTTTTTATTTGGCAACTTATCTCGGCATGCTTCGCAATGCCACATTGAAAATAATAAAGTCAAATTAAATCGTTGTCCAAGCAAAAAGTTTTATTAAAAATATACAACCTTTTTTATTTTATCTTTTAGTGTACAAACCTATTTGGCGACCAAAGGACAATTCTAGCAGTTAGGCATCCAAGGAGGATAAGCATTCATTGATTTTAATATATATAAAAGAATATAACACACACAAAAAATACAAATATATGTACGACCATGGCACTTCAATCGCGCAGCAAAGCGTCTCGTTTCATTTCGTCATCACTATGCTGTTATGAATGACCATGTTTTGCAATCCATACCTTTCGCTTACGAACTGCATGCAATTTATAAAATGGATGTAAACAAAAACTAAAGCATGCAAAACTAAAGAAATATTGTTTAAAAAAAACTGGGAAACTGCCTTGATAAGCGCGATCTAAAGGCTTTTAGTGAAAAAAAAATATAAAAACGTCGAAATCTTGTCTATTATGTTCCTGTCCTTGACTTAACGAATTTTAATTGACATAGACAATTTATAAACTGACAAAAAAAACGAAACTATAAACTATTTATTCGCAAATGACGATTTCCACAATATATCTGCGAAATATATACAATGTGTCTTGTCGTGAACTATCTTCATGATTTAATGCAACTGGGAGGTTGGGAAGGTCAAACATGATACGAATGGTCACATCTTTAATACCTACGTTGTGATGTGAGTTTTCACTTCCAAAACTCTTATATCGAAACATATAGTCATCTCTTTTATCCTCTTGTAGAAAACAGAGACAACATATGTAAACTCGTTTAGTATTTATTTATAAACATGTCCCAACAAACTTGATTGTTGATTACTAGAAATTGTACAACAAATATGTAAAGAAATTATACTTAAATTATCCAAAAAATATGATGAAAACTTTACTTTAGCAAATAGTAGTACATACCTATACGTAAATTGATTTTTATCGCCAAATTGATCGAATTAATTGGCTTTAATATCTTAGATAGCTTATGTTATTTTAGATTACAATAAATTTCATTGCATTTTATTACAACGTGCAAAAAACAATTAACAACCAAATTCTTAAGATAAAATCACTTTAAAAACATAATAATTTATTTTTAGTTACAAAAATTTCCTGATTATTTTAAATGCTTCAAAATGTAATACGGTTACGTGAATTAGCAACATAAATAGGCAATGGTGCGAAATTATCGATTAATATAAACATTGATTTTAAAACGAAAACTTTCCCGTATGAAATCGTAAAATAATTAACATTGATTAATATTTCTTTGAGTCATATGATATTTATTTTACGGTCATATAAAATGTAAACATAAGAATACTCACCGTATCTTTGTTGATCAATTTGCGCGTGAAAGTTTTTGTATTGCATTCGGCACGTATCGTACATTCGCGCTATCACCTCACAACTGACAGTGTGACAGTTTATTTTATTGACAGCAAGAGGCAAGTGCCAGCTGCGGGCCGCGGCGGATTCGCGGTTTCACCAACGTATAGTGTTGCCAACTCGAATTTTTAAATTTGCTTTTAATACTTAAGATATTTTTGAATCCATTCACAATTTTAAATATAAATAAAATTAATCATATACATGTCTATTTAAAATTAAAATGATAGTATTAAATGAGAAAGATAATTGTGTAATTCTACCTAGCTAAAAGTAGACAGAATTAGCAACACTACAACAACACGTAAACGAAATATGCAAAAGTAAATTAAAATTAGTGTATCAACAATCCGTTTTGTCGCTGCAGTCGTAAACGTCGATGGAGTTTATAAATGTTTTTTATTGAAGAAGAAAAAAATAAATCCGAGAATTACATTAAGTAAACTTAATAAATATAAGTATAACTCAAGTTTACTGAATACTAAAAGTTTCCTAGTTATCGGAAATATAACTAATTTTACTTTTAAATTAAAATATGAAAAGACTACCTTTTTTGTCAAATACACAATTATAAAAATAAAACAAAAATGAGCCATCATCCCCTGTAATATAGATATATATTAGGCAGACATTGTTAACTTGGACGGTATTTTTCTCCACATTCTTACATATAATCATTTACGTCTGCTCTTCGATTTCGGGAAACTTTCCTAGTCAAGTCCTAGTCTCCTGGTTAAGTAGGCTCCGTGACCCATCGCTGGGGACAATTGTGCTCAAACACATTTTTGAATTTCTTCACAGATATGTGCAAGTTGCATCACTATGATTTCCTTCACAATAAATGTAAATATGAAATACTAATCGACAAACATATGACTACATTATAGGAATCAAACCAGAACGTACAGGATCACAAGTTAAACGTTTTACCCTTGAGCCACCGATGCTCTTAATAATATTTCGGCTGAACATGAATATCGGCTCGATTGGGAAAGTACGACCTCACGTTATTAGAGACGTATTGATTAGAGGTATTAATAAACTTACCTCTGCACGTATTTAAGTGCCGCAGTCTCCTATCAATGTATTTAATAAAATCGCTCATTTAGCCCCGCTGACTGTCTGATTTGAATAAAAAAAAGAAAATGGCCTTTGCTTGCACCAGAGTTGACTACCAATTAACTTGTAAAAATGTCTAATTCAAACTTTAAAATTCTCTTAAAATTAATACATAAGGTAACGGAACAACTTTACTTGCGACATCTCAAACAAGTCAAAGAATTCGACTGATCCAATAACTAAAATAAAACGTAAATCGAATTATATAATTTGAATTTCTAACAATAACAATGAAGTGCGTCAAAGTCTTCTTTTGTAATATTATGGAAAACAATGATTGTTGATTTATAGGCATAGGAAAATTAAAAAAAAACCCCTCACGTAATTTACGGACGCCCTCTTACCTATGTATACCTTACTGTTCTTTAATATCATAAAAAATTAAATTTTCGCCTATGAAAACAACATTTTTAATCGTTTCATAAACATATTTTTTTTATCAAGAAATGTCTAATTTATTTTAGAAGAAAACAAATTGTTTCGAAACATCGTTATATTTTAGCACATTTATTTTTATTTAATAATTACAATTAAATTAAAATCAACGCAAAAAAACTTTTGGATAACCATACAAAGTTTGTTTTGGTAAAGATTAACGAAAGCTTTATTGCGGGAATCTGTACTTCCCCCTCAGTTAGTTCCTGAACGCCGTGGTAAGCGGGTAGATTTGAAACCTGCGCGTCGCGAATATACCCAAGTTCATCGAACTTATCGCGTAAATTTTGTGCATTGTTTTTTACATATATTGAGTAAATTAATTAAAATTACATTGCTATGAACGAATTAAAAATCAATTACGCAGCGAGCTTTGTGGATGGAGAACATGGATTTGGAGGTGAAGTGCCCTGGACAGATGAACCTATTCCATTGCACGTTAGTTTCTGCAACTATGTCGCAAGCATTGAAGACCAGGAACTAATGCAAGGTAGGAGGTTAACTATTTCCAAGTTTATTTTTTTTTTGTATTATAAAATAAAGAAAAAACATTGTGAATGTTACTAAAAGTTATCTTTCTTTGCGAATCAAGCTTGACTTAAGTTTGAAAGATGTAAAAATTACATAAATATAGTGTTATAATCAAAATTGAACTCTTTTTAGTCAATTTATAATCTATCGTATTATAGCGACTTTATTTGTCGGAGATGTAACTTAAACGCAATATTCCGTTTGCAAATTTTGTTTTATACCTACATTATGAAAGACGGTATGACATATATTCTTAACCCTTATTGTGGCAAGATTTCTTTTTTGAAGAAAAGCTAAAAAAAAACGTCTAGAAACTTCATGTGTTTAAAAAAATTAAGTTAAAAATTATTTTATACTGATCGTATATTTTAATAAAATTGTATGTATGGTATATTATACAAAATAAACATAAGGGTTAAAGAGGCATTAGAAGATAGATTGATTTTCGGCTCGTCTCAACGTCGTAATATTTTGTTATTATAAAAATAAAAATCAATCAATGTGTTTGTCCTCCATACGTTCTTAAACTGTAGGTACATATTTTGATGATATATGATATTGTTAGCAGACCATAGTTGCGTTTGTCCCCAAAAAGAAATGATTATTTACATTTGGAATGCCTAAGTCAAAATAACCTATTTTGACTAGCTGAATCGTTGCAATGTTCTTGTATCATACAAAAATCATGATTGCCGTAAAATCAATGGGATCAATCCAATGTCGAAACTTCGTGAAACCATAGAATTTCTGTTTCAACAATCGTTGCTAAAAATGAGAATGGTTATTAATAAGTATTGGAAAAGTCGAATGAGCCCAACTCTTTTTGTTATGTTGCCCGACAAACTTTTTCTTTTTAATTTCTTTTTTCAAATACGAATTTGTTAATAACTTATGCCACGTGTAACTACTTAACTTTACCTTTGCACTCCTTTGCTACTTCTCTTCACACATATTTTTGTCTATTTTTTTCATAGACAATATAAAGTATGAAATTATATATTATCAAATTAATAACAAGAAAACAAGTAATTGGCAGTATGTATGACTTCCCACTGCAGACGTTACGTTATATTGAAATTGTAGATATAATTTGACTTGGTTTTTGTCCAAGAAAAGTATTTTGACAATTAACATAATCCAAATGTATAAAATAAAACAGTTTTTGTATTAACAAACTTTTATTTTCCAGGAGTAAATGTGGCCGAAGCTTCTATGCAGCATCTATGCTATGAAGAATGCTGTTTAGGTTAGTAATTTTATGTTCACAATATTTGCTTTAAAGGAGTCGCATATTAATAATCAAAATGGATGAAACATCCCAATTACTGTAAACATTGATATAAGCATCATAGATAATGTAACAGTAAACTCTTTTATCCAATAAAATCAAAAATAACTTAGACTACATTTCATACATCGTCTGCCCACACTGACCCAGTGCGGGTTGGTTAACTCGACACATATCTTTCAATTTATTCACAGATATGTACAGCTTACATCACGATGTTTTCCTTCCCTATAAGAACTTCGGATAAATGAACATATGAAATTCAATTATGGGATCGAATCAGTCCAGTCCAATTAAGAACTTAGTAAACGGCACCACCGTTAATTTTATATCAATCAGCGATAATACGTAAGTTAGTATAGTGGCTTCATTCGACAGTCATTGAAGTGTATTGCACCTTTTATAGGAAGTCCTTATTACGCGGTATATGGAAATAGTGAGTTAAATTATTAATTTAATTTGTTTATTCCAGGACTTCAAGAATCTTTCCATCCTGTGTGTTATGATCCATCCGAAGAAGTATCATCCGAGGTTCCTGATTTAAAGGCATCTTATGAAAAATCCAAATGTAAGTTAATCCATGTTACGACATTAACATAGAGATTTTACAGTTTGCCTTGATACATATTGTTGTATCTGTTTTGTCAAAGAGTATTAAAAAAAGGACAAGGCACTTTTTTCATAACAACAATGTAAATGATAGGCGTGTCCAAGATGTGTATAAATCTAAATGACATGAGTTTAGTATTAGTAGGCTGGATGCTGCCCTGGTAGATACACTTCTACATTTGTGTTAATACATATTGCCATCCCTTTCATTATCTTTGATAAAACAGTGACAACAAGATGTGCCAATACAAATGACGCTGCATTCGAAACAGTTATTGGTTAAGTGCTTCTGGTTTTAGTCTATTTTAAGTTCCTACATTAATAATGCTCCTACGATTTTCACCGAAATATTCAAAGTAAATCCGACAAATATTGACCATATTGGAGAATAGTAAGTAGGAAACTATATTTGCTATTTAATTATATTTGGTTTGGTTCAGATACTTTTTGATGATACTTTTTTATTTTTATATTTATAAAGAGGAAATCAATGGTCCCGAAACAGCACATTTCTTATTTCCAATGTATTCTCCTTCTCTTTCCTTTTCTCTTTCTCCTGAAATAAAATATTAATCCCTTGTCTTATTTCCTCAGAGCTAATAATATATTATCTTGATATTACCTATATTGAGCGAATTCCAATGTATTTATTTATTCCTAACAATTTCTCCCTGTTCTGCACGAATATACTCTTGTCATTTATCTCGCTAAAAATGTATTAAGATTAAAACAAATCTAACTAAATATCTACGATATGGCTTTATCTAAGGGAAAACTTTTAGAGGTAAGCTTACCAGTAATTCAAACAAAAAACCGTATTTTTGGGAACTACACTGTACATATTCTTAAAAGGAAATCGAACTTCGGGCGTCGTGCCTAACGATTTGGGCGTCATGCGACTCCCAAAACATACGTGAATACATTACGTTATCTCTGGAGATATTCAATTGAATGAACAACACACCAGGAAGCAAAGAGGTCACAGACTCTTAACAATGTACTTAAAAAGAGCTCGATAAACCGAAACGAAATCTTAGATGACCTTCGAAGCGCGAGGCTCGGTAACATGAATTCCTAATTGTAATATAGATATTTTTGGAGCCAAACCATGCGAAATCACTATAGCGGTTGCGATGATTATAGTTACACTAGTTGCCGGCCAAACTTCGCTCAGCGTTGTCTTTCGTAAGATTGTAGTTTTTTTTTTCTAAGATATTATGATTTTTCTTTTTGATTGATTGTTCTTCAGTGAAAAAAATGATAGGCCCCAAAACCCATTTTTTTTTATAAAAAACACCTATTTAAATTTATACTGTGAGTAGATACAAAACTGTTTTCCAAAATTTTGCGACTTTTAACTACGTAGGCCACGTTTAAATAAAATTGTTATAATGGGAAGATGTCTTTTACCCGGAAATAAGCAAAGGTTCGGTAGTTAATGTTTGATGTAAATTACGTTGGTTCGTCAAGCGTTTTATACTTAAAAAATAATAATTGAGTGTTATTATAATTATACAAATACTTCTAATATAATTTAGTAGCCATCGTATAGTCCTACAAAAATTACACCCCTTCTTTATTCTTCAATGATTCGTGCAAAAACTTTCTCATACATGTAGAATACATTGCTGCGTAGCCTTTAGACTTTGAAATTATTAAAGACTTAAGAAAAATTGACCTGCGGCTACAGAATCACTTAAAAAGTAACGATGTAATGGTTCTTTTGTTTTTCAGATGACTATGAAAATCAGACACCTCTTCCTAACGCCGATGCGGCTAACGAATATGCTCCAACGGAAAACGGTAAGTTTAAAGCATGCAAAAGTTTTTATATAGTTGTAAATTTACACGTAAGCTTGTGCTTACAAAATAGTTGGAAGTGAAGCTTTCAAACTTAAATGGCTCCTAGCATAAAAGCGTCTGAAATAACTCACAGATAGGCGAGCGTTTAAGCTGAATATTTGCGAAACCTTAAGTAGAATCTTCAACGCCAAAGTGTAATTACAGTCGAACTATAAGCTATTTAATAATCTGTTCGATAACGGTACTAATTTCTATGACGGATTTATATTAGATATAAAATTCTCGTGTCACAATTTTCGTTACGTTACTACTCGGAAACGGCTTGAATGATTCTCATGAAATTTTGTAAGCATATTGAGTAGGTCTGAGAATCGGGCAACATCTATTTTTAATCCCGCGCGGACGGAGTCGCGGGCGACAGCTAGTATTCTATAGTTTTTGTCTCGTTATAAAATAATTAACCGTCGGCTGAACTTCGTTGTGTATTACGTCGTCATTTTTTTATCATTATTTACGAGTACTACTGGCCTATTTAAAATATATCACTTTTGTAACACACTTTTTTAACGTTCTGTTAATTAATAGCCAAAATTCGGCATCTTAATTATAGAAATTCAAAGGAATACATCTTGGAAACATATCAAGTTTGCGTAAGGATAGTTATTATGCAAATTAAAGAATGAAATTATATCGTAAATTAAGATAGGGGTTTAAAACTTAGTAGTAACTATGCCACAACGTTCTACATTCAAATGACGATATCTTTCGATTTTCCGACCAGTAATCAAATAGCCAGTACGCAGCTCTGAAAACCGAACGGCTGCTTTGTACAAGCCCGCCTTTATCAAATCTTACTCCTTTTTTTTATAACAGAAGGGGACAAACGAGCAGCGGGAACACCGAGGTGTTCAATAATACTCCTTACTAATATTGCTACTTACTGTTACTAATATTATAAATGTGAATGTTTAGATGAATGTTTGAATGATGTCTCCAGACTGAACGAATAGCGATGAAATTTGACGTACATATAGAACATAATCCGAACCCGTTCGCTACTAATTGTTTTTTTTTAATTCCGCGCAGAGTCGCGGGCGACAGCTAGTATTTCCTAACTCAGAACGGCCGCAGATCATGATATCTATGATGACCAGCCACATCCAATTAGCTCTGAACCGATTCAAAAGTTCAGTTCACATAAAGTTGAACCCTTGAGTTTATGTGGGTGGTTAAACAACTAAATTAGAAGCTCATCATTCAACTGATCCGTGATTGGGTTCAGTGATCTACCTTACACATGTGTATGGTGAGCCGTTCTGCAGATCTTCAATCTTTAGTTGTGTTACCTATGACTAATGGTTGGTAAAAACCTTAGCTTTGCATAACAATTAAAGTTATTCACTTCATTATTTATTTGAATTTGAAAAAAAAAAAAACATATGACATATTCACAAAGATATATATATTTTTTAATTTGGATTGAGTGAGACCAGCAGCGCATCAGCGGATCCTCTGGCATTGTGGATGTCCATGTGTGTTGCTGATCACCTTGGTGTTCCCGCGGTTCATTTGCCCCAAACCTTTATTAAAAAAAATCTTGTTTATAAAAAGTTGCATTTGAAGATAGATATATCATTCTTCTTTGGTTAAACTCAAAGAAAAAACAAACATGATTATTTTAATAAACTTTGTAATAGCAAACTCTTTACAGGTCACACCACTAGTCAATATTATTGAATCTTACAACAATACTATTAAATAATGTAAAATTAGCTGTACAACACATATATATATATATATATATAAATATATAAATTTATGTACTAACTGTTTTTAACAAGCTGTGGCCCAAGACACTGTCTATGAGGAATAAAAAAATTAGTATCCTATGTGTTCTTTTAGACTAAGTTTTATATCTATGTCAAATTTCAGTGCGACCCATCCATCCTGGAGATACCTTCAATCAAACACCTATCTATTTTAGCATTTACATTTAGAATATTATTTGTAGTTGTATCGGTGGATATCTATTCTACTGATTATGAATACAAAATGCTACTGACATACATATTTGTTTCTATATACATAAGTATTTTTAAGATGTATACTAATTTCTGTTTTGTAAGTATATACATATTTATGATGTTTTTGCATCATTTAGTGTACTTCTTTGACTATATGCATAACCATTTACAATTATTATATTTATTAATAACCTTGGGTAGCTACAGCTAAAACTATCAAACATTTTGTCTCTATTTTTTAACAAGATAGTGATAGTATGTTTCTTTATTTGTGTACAGGCAGTGGTAACCTGCAGTTATTCAAACAATGCTCCGCGATGTAAACCAATCTAAACATTCAATAAACCATATTGACTGAACCCCCATGGAGAAGAGTTTGAAATAACTGTCACCATATTCTTCAAAGCCTTTGTCACAATAAAACAGATGTAGTACACATATAACCCACAAAAAAGTTACCCACCTGAAGTAGACGTACTTTTCCTAGATAAATTAAAGCTACTTCTGTTTTTTAAGAAATTATGTTTTATTTCTAATAGTACTTGCTACTAGACTGCTTGTAGTTAAAAATAATTGCCTATTTAGATTTTTATAATCATAAAAAAGTTAGATTGCGTTGCTATCTTGATATTTAAAGATACTGAACGTTTTAAACTTTAGATTTAAACTTTTAATTGAATATGACGACAAAATATTCCCTTGCTTTTGCCGCCGTTTTGAGGTTTGTTTTGACTTTTGACGTTATTGTGTGTTACAATTATTTAAACTGCGAGTGCTGGCAACAATTTAATAAAACATTTAATTTGTCGATACTTTTTAAAGCTTTTATCTAAAAATTATCCACAATATATATTCAGGCCGGTACTAGGGCTAATAATTTTGTTATTTCATATTTTACCGACTACCTTATCGACAATCCGATTGATCATCGGTTAATAGGTACGATTATCCGAAATATAGTGTTGCCACAACAACCAACGCGATACTTGCATTTGTTCACGTTACTTCCGTTGCAACCCGGCAGGTAGATTAAAATACCCTTTCTCATTATGTTCCTTTATGCGCCAAAAAATTGTGATATAAATTTAATTACCAAACTGCAATTATTGCTAAGCTTTCCCAGTAAACATACATACGCTATTATAATTAAATGACAAAATATTTTCCAGATTGTCTGTTCATTATTTAATTATCCATAGACAGAAATAATATACTAAACGATCATAATTTCTCAAAATTACATTATTTATTATAAGAAAGGATATTCCAAATGCCTAAGATGAGAATGTTGTGTGAATGAATGTATGGTGTAACGAGAAAAGCTAAAATTAAGAATATGTAAATTAGTATACTTACTTAGTCCTCTGGGGTAGCGACCCAAGATGAGTCTTGGCCTCTGATACAAGAAATCGCCACCGTCGCTTGCCCTGTGCCATCTCCTAGAAAAAATAAATTAAGGGAAATTAATAAATTGGATATCTGCCTAAAAAGTAAAATTAATTTCATTTCTGTTTACTTATGGAGGTGTATGGTAGAAAGGTACACACTGTGTCCACGTTCCACAGGAAATAAGGCGGGTTAACTACGATATTAAAGTTCAAGAACATATTTGCACAGGTTTTTAGCTTCGAAATTTTATAAAAATAGAAATTAAAGAAAGCTAAAGTTATAATCGCCTCTATCCATAGGTAGTTAGCGATATTTCTTCATCCATAGATAATATATGAAAGACATTTACATTTTCTTTGCAATTTGTCAACTATCGCAATGTTTACATCAACCAACAGCAACAGGCAAAAAAGAACACGAAAAGCGAAGCTTGGCATGGCTTGGCATGCGTGACGTGACTAGTAGACGTAAATGATCGAATGACATTAATTTAAATTTTTTTAATTCATTCAACAATTGAAAAAAATATTTTGTACAATTTTTACTTTTGTTAAACCGAGACATATCAAGAGGTAGTAGTTAAATTTTGCTGTTAAATATAATTTCTTCTGTAACAGTGACGTCCGTTTGTTTATTGCCTAACATCCGCCATTTTGTTCTGTCGTTTGTTTAGTGACTGGGTTTTTACCTAGTAATGCCACACAAATTTACGGAAAACCTATATTGTGATTTTGCAATCGGTGTAAAATGTATTTGCTAGACACTTTGTTTTTAAGGGCTTAAAATTCATTTTTGTGTGTCTGTCAAACTGACATTGGAACAAGTCTACCTATGTGCCGGATGTGTCCTACAATCAGTTAGGGCGATAGAACGTGGTGCCACCTTGAGTGGTATACGTGTTGCGATACCTATGCTGCCTAGAATATGAGTGGCAACGGGAATCAGGTGCCGCTGGCGCCAAGTCAGCGTGGGCCCGGAAAGTATCCTTTTCAAGTGATTTTTTAAGTTATAAAGTTATATTTACGTAATGTAAGCCACTTTAGCAGTTGCTACGATCGTATCTCCGAATGCTGTGTGTTGTGAATTTTTTTTCCACGACTATCCTGTGTTATTTTTTTGTAGAGAAAAGCTTGCTTTTCATTGTAATTGTTTATCTTTTATGTAGTTTTAACAAACTTTGAAAAACTTATTAGTTTGGTTATAACTTTTTCATTGTTTTAAGAGACTCGATGTGTTAAGTTATAGGTAATTAGAAGCTGTTTTGACGATCTTTGCACTTACTTTTCAACTTTTTTTTATGTTCTGCCTATTTTTATTGACCATTACTTTATATTAAGAAAGTAAACTTTTTTTGCTTAGAAACTTTCATTCAAAACACAAACTTTTTAAATTTGTTTTTCGTAATGTTCATATACCTGCTTTTATACTCTTTCTGCTGATGATCTTAATTTATTGGTGATTAAATCTCATAAATATTATAACACGTGAAAAATAATTCTAGCCTCTCACTGTTTTTGATATATAGGAAGGACATTACAAAAAATATTTATTCAATTAAAAAAATAAGCAAAATGCAGGCTTTTAGTATTTCACCATTTTATTTATTGAAACTTTTGAAACACTGCCTCTATATACATAATTAGGTATTTCAAAGCTATATAATGGTTTCAATCACTAAATATATTGTAAGTTATATTTCACATCAACAACATGAAGTTAGAAAATACTCAGCTTATCTTGTTTCAATACTTATCATGAGAAGTTGATAAAGTGGGCCAAATTGATATATACCTTGCTAAATGTCTCCCAAGGAGGGGTTTCGTAGGAACTCTATAAAAACATTGACAATTTCAAATATCAAAGTTCCTTATGTTCTGAACTGAACTTTTCAGTCAAAATATAATTGTTGTCCATATAAAACAACCCCTTACTTCAACGGAAGGTTCGATAAAAAAAAAGTCATTCTCATGATCTTAATTCATTATCTTTCACATCAACATGTAAACCATTAATAACATAATTTCGTTAGACATTCACACTCTTTTTCATTATCACAGCAATGACATGATCGTTTGCACCGCATTCCTTATTTATATTCAGTCTTAATATCCAACAACTTTTTAATTTTTGTGTCCTTTTTCTAACTTTGCACCCTTTCCAAGTAACATCCTCAACATTGTCTGGTCTAAAATTATTAATAAAGTTTACCAAAAAATATGCTTTTCTGAAAAGTTTTAAACTTGATTCTTAAGTAGATCACATTGTTCTATTTAAGTGTGTTTAAACCTAGGAGTATAGTCTTAACTTGGCCCACAGTTAAAAACTGTTATAAATATTCTTACAAGTGTTCAATATCATTAATATTCAAGTCAAATGTCATCATTGATAAGTTACTTTTTAATTGCCAATATAAAATTACTCAACAAAAAATTGATAAATATTATACACACCTAATAAACTATTACAAAAGCCATAATTCATTCTTTATGATCAGTTTTTGGTTACACATAGCTTTGTGTTCCCTGTCCTACCCTTTTAATACAAGTTCAGAAGTTACATCACGTTGAATCAGACATTATATATTCCAAACTATGTAGGCTCCAAGAAAAACAAACATATCATGCAAAATACACTCTATTTGGAAATTATAGCATAGTTACTACTAAACAACAAACAGAGCATTGTCCAGTAATCTAAGTCCTTCATAAAAAATATCTCATTAAAATTGTAGGAAAGGAAACTTTTAAATAAAGACATAACTTTGTGTCTGTAGTTCTCTTTTTATTCTCAACCGTTGACAATTATAACAACAAATTCAATTTTACTAAAATATATCGTACAATTCCAAATTCTTATAAAAGAATATGAAGTTAATAAAAAACTCTAAACCTCCGTATAAAGGGAAAAGGTAAATAATGTTGGCTTTTACTTGAAGCAAATATATTTTCACATATTTTCAGACTACTTATTTACTCTGAATGAAGTTGAAGAACGCAAACGATTTAAGCTCTTTCAACAATCACTTTGAAACCGTTATCACAATACTTATGAAGATGTTGATTTATTTATTTTTTTGTTTCTTTTTTAGCATTGTACGTAAATGGTAACAATTTAGTAGCTTTTGTGAAACTGTCTTGTAAATGTTATGTATGCTTAAAATTGCTTATGTTAATATTATGAATATGTATGTTAAATTATAAATATTTTATATGTAAAATTATTAATAGCAATGTAGTTATTATGATATAATTTTTTTTTAACAAATACTTTCACCGTTGGAACATCTGTACAAAATTTATTATTTTTATTTTTTACAATGAAAATGAGTTGATGTAAATATTTTGTACAGGTGTTTTAACAGGATAAATTCATGGTGATATCAGCTTTATTATCAATTAGTTATCAATAGTTTTGTAAATTAAAACAAATATGATCTTCATTTATTGAATTTAGTAAGTTATATTGGATCATTGTTTATTCTTATGGTCAAAATATTTTAATTAAAATAAAATTCATCATTACTAATAAATATAAAATATGCTATGCAATTAACAATTCAATTTATTGTTGTTTTTAGGTATGGAAACTACCACTTTATGTTTTTTATTAACCATATCCTTACACAAACGTAAGATTTGTTGGAATGGTTAAAAGATACAAAGTTTATAATTCATTGCATAAAAATTAAATTCAGGTCTAGTTATTGATAATTTATGAAGATATTGTAGCAATATTTCATTGATGTTATGTATGCTGGCGATATGGCTTTCTAACCAGTTATACAATACTGTGTAACTTTACACTATGGAATAGTTCAAAAACTAGTAATTTACTTTCCAAGTAAGGATTTTTGCAAAAACATCTTGTTAATGAAGTTCACTAAAAATTGTTAGTTTTGCCTTTAGTTTGTTATTCAAAAGGATATAAATGTATATGATATTTACATATGTGACAACTGATTTGTATGTAGAAATGTATATAATGCTTATTGCTATTTACATTATTTTTCTATATAAGATAACTTAATCATATTTCATTATACTCAAAACCATTTAGCTATTAACATCCGATTGATATCAAAAGCAATCACTGCTATTCAAAGGACTGCTGCCGCGAATTCAACTGAAGATAATCAAACCCCATTACATCTACATTGTCCCGGTTCCTGTTTCTATATTAACGTCTAACGAAGTGATCCGAAAATGGTTGCTAAGCATTTCTTATAACAAGATTGAATATCAGAGAGAAAAGAAGATACACTTCATTAAAATATGGAATTAATATATTAAAATAGATATATGAGTTACTCTAACCCGCCGTAAGCAGTTGCGAAGATTTTATTCAATTTATTACCATGATAAAGTCTCATGTATCCATCTAAAGCATCGCTGCACGCGTCATTTTAAAATCACTACGATATAACTGCAGCGTATTTTCTGCGTCGCGACGATGTGGCAATTGTACAAGGTCTATTAACTAACATGTGCACGTAATACCTGTTCTTTATTGATACGAGATATCGATCGCTTTCGCTACCCCAAGAGACGCAGGACAAAACGTCAAGGAGCCCTATCCAACATAATTCGAGGAGTGTGCTATAGACATTATTATACAGCTGAGGATTTTTTAAGTTAAAAGTAGCCGTCTAGGTACTATTTGTTGGTCCATTAAGGGAAGTTCACAACGTAGAGACGCTAATAACCGAACCTTAAAAAAAAATTAGTTCGATATTACACGATATTTTAAAACTATAAAACGTGTAGATTCTCACTGTCTGAGCATAGTTCTGATCAAGAATTAGAAATATTGTCTTTTGGATGTTATATCGGACGAATGTTAGATCGTATTGGATGGTGAGTGAAGGTATTACCAAGACCAGCGGAGTAATGAGTACCAGACAAAGCTAGAAGTCTCGAGATACCTCTCGCTGAAGGAAAATCTACCCTTTAAAAGAGCACTTCAATACGGTTATTAAAAATTATGGAATACTTTAGGACAAGGCAGAAGAGAAGACAGGTACGTGTGTATACGCTGTTCCAAATTATGAACTAAACATTGTAAACAAACAATAATACATCTTTTGCTCTACAATTCAAAAATATTTGCACAAATTAAATTTTTTTCTTACTGCAATAAATATACTTTAACGCACATTTGTCACAAAATTGGTCGTTTTCGTTTACAATGTTAAAATCATATTTTGGAACAACTTATAAACGAATAGGTATATTGCTGTTT